AATTGTCTGAAGCGCCTTCCAAATTGGCATCCCGAAGCGCCGCACATCAGAGTTAATTTATGATTAAAATAAAACTGCTTATTTAACTTTTATGTTATGTTTAGCTGAGCTACGTGGCTACGTGACTCTTTTTCAGAAGCGACCAGGCTATCACAAATGATAGCTCAACGAAAGTAGCTTATCATCATCATCGTGTGAAAATGTACAGCAGCCAAAGACTCTAAAAGCGATGCTATTATTACTACTATTATTACTACTATTATTATTACTACTGCTATTACTACTATTACTACTACTACTATTACTACTACTGCTGCTATTATTACTATTACTACTACTATTACTACTATTATTACTACTACTATTACTACTACTACTACTATTATTACTACTATTACTACTGCTATTACTACTACTATTACTACTACTATTACTACTACTATTACTACTACTACTGCTACTATTACTACTATTACTACTGCTATTACTACTATTACTACTACTATTATTACTACTTTTACTACTACTGCTACTATCACTACTACTATTACTACTATTACTACTGCTATTACTACTATTACTACTACTATTATTACTACTTTTACTACTACTGCTACTATCACTACTACTATTACTACAACTATTACTACTATTACTACTGCTATTACTACTATTACTACTACTATTACTACTACTACTGCTGCTGCTACTACTATTACTACTACTATTACTACTACTGTTACTACTATTACTACTACTATTACTACTATTATTACTACTACTATTACTACTACTATTACTTCTGCTGCTATTATTACTACTACTGCTACTACTGCTATTTTTACTACTACTACTGCTGCTATTATTACTACTACTATTACTACTGCTACTGCTGCTGCTATTATTACTACAACTATTACTACTGCTACTACTGCTGCTGTTATTACTACTATTACTACTACTGCTGCTGCTATTATTACTACTATTACTACTATTATTACTACTACTATTATTACTACTACTATTACTACTACTATTACTACTACTATTACTACTGCTACTACTGATGCTGCTACTACTATTACTACTATTACTACTGCTACTACTGCTGATGCTACTACTATTACTACTACTATTACTGCTACTGCTGCTGCTATTATTACTTCTACTATTATTACTGCTATTACTACTACTATTACTACTACTATTACTACTGCTACTACTGCTGCTGCTACTACTATTACTACTGCTACTACTGCTGCTACTACTATTACTACTACTATTACTACTGCTACTACTGCTGCTATTATTACTACTAGTACTACTGCTACTACTGCTGCTGCTGCTACTATTACTGCTGCTACTACTATTACTACTACTATTACTACTACTGTTATTACTGCGATTATTACTACTACTACTATTACTACTACTGCTATTATTACTACTACTATAACTACTGCTACTACTGCTGCTGCTGCTACTACTATTACTGCTGCTGCTGCTGTTGCTATTATTACTACTGGTATTACTACTACTGCTGCTACTATTATTACTACTACTACTGCTGCTATTATTACTAATACTATTACTACTACTGCTGCTGCTAGTACTATTACTGCTGCTGCTGTTACTATTATTACTACTGCTATTACTACTGCTGCTGCTATTATTACTACAACTATTACTACTGCTACTACTGCTGCTGCTATTATTACTACTACTATTACTACTACTACTGCTGCTGCTATTATTACTACTACTATTACTACTATTACTGCTGCTGCTGTTGCTATTACTACTAATGCTACTACTACTACTGCTGCTGCTCCTGCTATTATTACTACTACTGCTACTACTATTACTGCTGCTGCTATTATTACTACTACTATTACTACTGCTACTACTACTACTGCTATTACTACTACTGCTGCTGTTGCTATTACTACTACTGCTATTACTACTACTGCTGCTGCTACTGCTGCTGCTACTACTATTACTACTGCTATTACTACTACTGCTGCTGCTTTTATTATTACTGCTACTATTTCTACTGCTACTACTGCTGCTGCTACTACTATTACTACTACTGCTGCTGCTGCTATTATTACTACTATTACTACTACTATTACTACTTCTACTACTGCTGCTGCTACTACTATTACTACTACCATTATTACTGCTGCTGCTATTATTACTACTACTATTACTACTACTGCTGCTGCTATTACGACAACTATTACTACTACTATTGATGCTACTGCTGCTACTACCACTATTACTACTGCTATTACTACTACTACTGCTGCTATTATTACTACTACTATTACTACTACTGCTGCTATTATTACTACTATTACTACTACTGCTGCTGCTATTATTACTACTATTATTAATACTACTGTTGCTGCTGCTATTACTACTACTATTACTACTACTGCTGCTGCTATTACTACTACTGCTGCTGCTATTATTACTACTACTATTACTACTACTGCTGCTGCTATTATTACTACTACTATTACTACTACTGCTGCTGCTACTGCTGCTGCTATTATTACTACTATTACTACGAATACTGCTGCTGCTACTATTACTACTGCTGCTGCTACTATCATTACTACTACTATTACTTCTGCTACTACTGCTGCTACTATTATTACTACTCCTATTACTACTACTGTTGCTGCTGCTATTACTATTACTTCTGCTACTACTGCTGCTACTACTATTACTACTGCTATTACTACTACTGTTGCTGCTGCTATTACTACTGCTACTACTATTACTACTGCTATTACTACTACTGTTGCTGCTGCTATTACTACTACTATTACTTTTGCTACTACTGCTGCTACTACTATTACTACCTCTATTACTACTGCTGCTATTATTACTACTACTGCAGCTATTATAACTACTACTGCTGCTGCTATTATTACTACTACTACTTCTGCTACTACTGCTGCTACTATTATTACTACTACTATTACTACTACTGCAGCTATTATAACTACTGCTGCTACTATTACTACTACTGTTACTACTGCTACTACTGCTGCTACTACTATTACTACTGCTACTACTGCTACTGCTGCTACTGCTGCTACTATTACTACTACTGCTGCTACTGTTGCTGCTACGACTACTGCTGCTACTGCTGCTACTACTATTACTACTGCTACTATTACTACTGCTACTACTATTACTACTGCTACTACTGTTACTACTACTACTGCTGCTACTGTTGCTACTGCTATTACTGCTGCTACTACTATTACTACTGCTGCTACTGCTGCTGCTACTACTACTGCTGCTACTGCTGCTACTGCTATTACTACTGCTACTACTATTACTACTGCTAATATTACTACTGCTACTACTATTACTACTGCTACTACTATTACTACCACTACTGCTGCTACTGTTGCTACTGCTATTACTGCTGCTACTACTATTACTACTGCTACTGCTGCTACTGCTGCTGCTACTACTACTGCTGCTACTGCTGCTACTGCTATTACTACTGCTACTACTATTACTACTGCTACTACTACTATTACTACTGCTACTACTACTATTACTACTGCTACTACTACTATTACTACTGCTACTACTACTATTACTACTGCTACTGCTATTACTACTGCTACTACTATTACTACTGCTACTACTATTACTACTGCTACTACTACTATTACTACTGCTACTGCTGCTACTGCTGCTGCTTCCTCCTCGGGGCACGTCGCTCCTGCTGGTCCACGCTGCGTGTCGAGGGCGACGTTTTGCAGCCGCCCTGGAGCGGGGCTCTGTCGCCAATTCGTCTATCACGGTTGGTGGTGGTGGTGGGGGTGGTGGGGGGGGTTGGTGGTGGTGGTGGGGGTGGTGGGGGTGGTGGTGGTGGGGGTGGTGGTGGGGGTGGTGGTGGTGGGGGTGGTGGTGGTGGGGGTGGTGGTGGTGGGGGTGGGGGTGGTGGTGGTGGGGGTGGTGGTGCGGGGGTGGTGGTGGGTGGTGGTGGGGGTGGTGGTGGGGTGGTGGTGGGGGGGGGTGGGGGGGGTGGTGGTGGGGGGGTGGTGGTGGGGGTGGGGGGGGGTGGTGGTGGGGGTGGGGGGGTGGTGGGGGGGTGGTGGTGGTGGGGTGGGGGTGAAGGTGTTGGTGGTGATGGTGGTGGAGGTGGTGGAGGTGGTGGTGCTGGTGGTGGTGGTGGAGCTGGTGGAGGGGCGGGTGGGGGTGGAGGTGGTGGGGGTGCTTGTGGTGGTGAGGGTGGTGGGGGGGGGGGGGGTGGTGGTGGTGGTGGGGGTGGTGGGGGGGGGGGTGGTGGTGGTGGTGGGGGGGTGGTGGTGGTGGGGGGGGTGGTGGTGGTGGTGGGGGTGGTGGTGGGGTGGTGGTGGTGGGGGGGTGGTGGTGGTGGTGAAGTATCACGGCCCCCCCCCCCCCCCCCCGAGTCTATCGATGGGACGTGCCAAGGCAGAGGTTGTGGGTGGGGGGGGTCCCTTCGCTCCGAACCAAGCCGAGATACACAACGCGCAGCTGTAGCAGCAGCATCAGCAACAGCAGCAGCAGCAGCATCAACAGCAGCAGCATCATCAGCATCAGCAGCAGCATCAACAGCAGCAGCAGCATCATCAGCAGCAGCAGCATCAACAGCAGCAGCATCAACAGCATCAGCAGCAGCAACAGCAGCATCAACAGCAGTAGCAGCATCAACAGCATCAGCAGCAGCAGCATCAACAGCATCAGCAGCATCAACAGCAGCAGCAGCATCAACAGCATCAGCAGCAGCAGCATCAACAGCATCAGCAGCATCAACAGCATCAGCAGCAGCAGCATCAACAGCAGCAGCAGCATCAACAGCATCAGCAGCATCAACAGCAGCAGCAGCATCAACAGCATCAGCAGCAGCATCAACAGCATCAGCAGCAGCAGCAACAGCAGCAGCATCAACAGCAGTAGCAGCATCAACAGCATCAGCAGTAGCAGCATCAACAGCAGCAGCAGCATCAACAGCAGTAGCAGCAAAAGCAGCATCAACAGCAGCATCAGCAACAGCAGCAGCATCAACAGCAGTAGCAGCATCAACAGCATCAACAGCAGCAGCAGCACTCCCCTGCAACGCGGTTTGAGGGACACGGAAGAGGCTCCATCGTCCGCAGTGGTTTGTTGTGGTGTTGTTGTTGTGTTGTTGTTGTGTTGTTGTTGTGGTGTTGTTGTTGTGGTGGTGTTGTTGTGGTGGTGTTGTTGTTGTTGTGGCTGGGCTGGCGACAATGCAGTGGGGTAGAGACGGCGAGGTGGCTATGCGTTTGGCGAGGCTGACTTTGTTAGTGGCTGTGTGTGTGTTAGTAGCTGTGTGTGTGTGTTAGTGGCTGTGTGTGTGTGTGTTAGTGGCTGTGTGTTAGTAGCTGTGTGTGTGTTAGTAGCTGTGTGTGTCTTAGTGGCTGTGTGTGTGTTAGTGGCTGTGTGTGTGTTAGTAGCTGTGTGTGTGTGTGTTAGTAGCTGTGTGTGTGTTAGTGGCTGTGTGTGTGTGTTAGTAGCTGTGTGTGTGTTAGTAGCTGTGTGTGTCTTAGTGGCTGTGTGTGTGTGTGTTAGTAGCTGTGTGTGTGTTAGTAGCTGTGTGTGTGTTAGTGGCTGTGTGTGTGTGTTAGTAGCTGTGTGTGTGTTAGTAGCTGTGTGTGTGTTAGTGGCTGTGTGTGTGTGTTAGTAGCTGTGTGTGTGTTAGTGGCTGTGTGTGTGTGTTAGTAAATGTGTGTGTGTTAGTGGCTGTGTGTGTGTTAGTGGCTGTGTGTGTGTGTTAGTGGCTGTGTGTTAGTGGCTGTGTGTGCGTGTGTTAGTGGCTGTGTGTGTGTGTGTTAGTGGCTGTGTGTGTGTTAGTAGCTGTGTGTGTGTTAGTAGCTGTGTGTGTGTTAGTGGCTGTGTGTGTGTGTTAGTAGCTGTGTGTGTGTGTTAGTAGCTGTGTGTGTGTTAGTGGCTGTGTGTGTGTTAGTAGCTGTGTGTGTGTTAGTGGCTGTGTGTGTGTGTGTGTTAGTAGCTGTGTGTGTGTTAGTAGCTGTGTGTGTGTTAGTGGCCGTGTGTGTGTTAGTAGCTGTGTGTGTGTTAGTGGCTGTGTGTGTGTGTGTTAGTAGCTGTGTGTGTGTTAGTGTGGAGCGATAGTGTAGCGGTTAGCGCGCTGCGCTATGAACCTGGCGACCCGGGTTCGATTCCCGCTCACGGCCAACACCAGTGACGATTATCTGAACCGGTCCCGGGCCTCCCCTAGGTCTACTCAGCCTCAAATGAATACCTGGTGCGGTGTGTAAACATTGCCACTGGGGAGACAAAGGCGGTCGGGCGTGGTGCTGGCCACCCACCCCCTCGTGTACCGTTCCCGCCTTCATAGGTGCTCGCTAACAGCACTTGCTCCTACAGTCTGTTAAGGCTATACGGGGGATCTTTGTACTGTGTGTGTGTGTGTTAGTGGCTGTGTGTGTGTGTTAGTGGCTGTGTGTGTGTGTGTTAGTGGCTGTGTGTGTGTGTGTTAGTGGCTGTGTGTGTGTGTTAGTGGTTGTGTGTGTGTGTGTGTTAGTAGCTGTGTGTTAGTAGCTGTGTGTTAGTGGCTGTGTGTTAGTGGCTGTGTGTGTGTTAGTGGTTGTGTGTGTGTGTTAGTGGTTGTGTGTGTGTGTTAGTGGTTGTGTGTGCGTGTTAGTGGCTGTGTGTGTGTTAGTGGCTGTGTGTGTGTGTTAGTGGTTGTGTGTGTGTGTGTGTTAGTAGCTGTGTGTGTTAGTGTCTGTGTGTGTGTTAGTGGCTGTGTGTGTGTGTTAGTGTGTGTTAGTGGCTGTGTGTGTGTTAGTGGCTGTGTGTGTGTGTTAGTGGCTGTGTGTGCGTGTTAGTGGCTGTGTGTGCGTGTTAGTGGCTGTGTGTGTGTTAGTGGTTGTGTGTGTGTGTGTTAGTGGCTGTGTGTTAGTGGCTGTGTGTGTGTGTGTTAGTAGCTGTGTGTGTGTTAGTAGCTGTGTGTGTGTTAGTGTCTGTGTGTGTGTTAGTGGCTGTGTGTGTGTGTTAGTGGCTGTGTGTGCTAGTGGCTGTGTGTGTGTTAGTGGCTGTGTGTGGGTGTTAGTGGTTGTGTGTGTGTGTGTTAGTAGCTGTGTGTGTGTGTTAGTGGCTGTGTGTGTGTTAGTGGCTGTGTGTGTGTGTTAGTGGCTGTGTGTGTTAGTAGCTGTGTGTGTGTTAGTGGCTGTGTGTGTGTGTTAGTGGCTGTGTGTGTGTTAGTGGCTGTGTGTGTGTTAGTCGCTGTGTGTGTGTGTTAGTGGCTGTGTGTGTTAGTGGGTGTGTGTGTTAGTGGCTGTGTGTGTGTGTGTTAGTGGGTGTGTGTGTGTTAGTAGCTGTGTGTGTGTTAGTGGCTGTGTGTGTGTGGGTTAGTGGCTGTGTGTGTGGGTTAGTGGATGTGTGCGTGTTAGTGGCTGTGTGTGCTAGTGGCTGTGTGTGTGTTAGTGGCTGTGTGTGTGGGTTAGTGCTTGTGTGTGTGTTAGTGGCTATGTGTGTGTGTTAGTGGCTGTGTGTGTGGGTTATTGGCTGTGTGTGTGTGTTAGTGGCTGTGTGTGTGTGTTAGTGGCTGTGTGTGTGTGTTAGTGGGTGTGTGTGTGTGGGTTATTGGCTGTGTGTGTGTGTGTTAGTAGCTGTGTGTGTGTTAGTGGCTGTGTGTGTGTGGGTTAGTGGCTGTGTGTGTGTTAGTGGCTGTGTGTGTGTGGGTTAGTGGCTGTGTGTGTGTGTGTTAGTGGCTGTGTGTGCTAGTGGCTGTGTGTGTGTTAGTGGCTGTGTGTGTGGGTTAGTGGCTGTGTGTGTGTTAGTGGCTGTGTGTGTGTGTTAGTGGCTATGTGTGTGTGTTAGTGGCTGTGTGTGTGTGGGTTATTGGCTGTGTGTGTGTGTTAGTGGCTGTGTGTGTGTGTTAGTGGTTGTGTGTGTGTTAGTGGCTGTGTGTGTGTGTTAGTGGCTATGTGTGTGTGTTAGTGGCTGTGTGTGTGTGTTAGTGGCTGTGTGGGTTATTGGCTGTGTGTGTGTGTTAGTGGCTGTGTGTGTGTGTTAGTGGCTGTGTGTGTGTTAGTGGTTGTGTGTGTGTTAGTGGCTGTGTGTGTGTGTGTGTTAGTGGCTGTGTGGGTTATTGGCTGTGTGTGTGTGTTAGTGGCTGTGTGTGTGTGTGTTAGTGGCTGTGTGTGTGTGTTAGTGGTTGTGTGTGTGTTTGTGGCTGTGTGTGTGTGTGTGTTAGTGGCTGTGTGTGTGTGTTAGTAGCTGTGTGTGTGTTAGTGGCTATGTGTGTGTGTTAGTGGCTGTGTGTGTGTGGGTTATTGGCTGTGTGTGTGTGTTAGTGGCTGTGTGTGTGTGTTAGTGGCTGTGTGTCGGTTGTTGGCTGTGTGTGTGTGTTAGTGGCTGTGTGTTTGTTAGTGGCTGTGTGTGTGTTAGTGGCTGTGTGTGTGTGTTAATGGCTATGTGTGTGTGTTAGTGGCTGTGTGTGTTTGGGTTATTCGCTGTGTGTGTGTGTTAGTGGCTGTGTGTGTGTGAGTTAGTGGCTGTGTGTGTGTGTTAGTGGCTGTGTGTGTGTTAGTGGCTGTGTGTGTGTGGGTTATTGGCTGTGTGTGTGTGCTAGTGGCTGTGTGTGTGTTAGTGGCTTTGTGTGTGGGTTAGTGGCTGTGTGTGTGTGTGTTAGTGGCTGTGTGTGTGTGTGTGTTAGTGGCTGGCTACTAAAGTGGCCCCTCGGGATAGAGTCATCTTGTTGGGTGACTTCAATGCCCGAGTGGGTCATGATTCTGGCACCTGGTCTGGAGTGATTAGAGGACATGGGCCAGATCTGCTCAATAACAACGGTGGGAGGCTGCTAGATTTTGTGCAGCCCATGGGCTTGTAATTACCAACACGCTGTTCCGGCATCGGCGCATCCACACAACATCATGGATGCATGCTGGGTCCAAACAAGAACATCTGCTGGACTACATAGTGACGGACCAGCGGATGCGAGCCCAAGTCCTTGACACCAGGACCTACCATGGAGCTGATCTGTCCTCTGACCATCGACTTGTCATCTGTAAGATGCATCTGCCATTCTTCCGCTCCGGTGGTGGGTGTACACCCAGGACCCCATTCCAACCTAAAGTGGCCTGGTCTCAGTTATCTGATGAAAGTTTGCAAGCGAGAATTCCATCATCGCCTGCGGCTGGGGTTGACATCGTCCCCCACTCCTCCGGATGTCGAGGGTAAATGGGCGAGGTTTAGGACTGTCACTCATGCAGCTGCATTGGCTGCTTTGGGTACGCGGTCCAGACCTCCCCAGAGACCCTGGCTGACAGAGGAGGTGTTCAGGATAGTTGAGAAAAAGCGACAGGCCCACTGTCATCGGCTACAGGATCCCACGTCAGAGAATGAGGAGGCTTACCGCAGCCTTCGCTCGGAGGATCGGAGAGCCGTGAGGCGCTGCAAGGATGGGTGGTGGTCGCGGGTTGCTGAGGAGATGGAGTCTGCCTCAGTGGCCCGTGATCACAAATCTCTATTTAACTACATCAAAAAAGTAACCTGCAGCGCCACACCTATTACCATCATTAGGGGAAAAAACGGTGATCCAATCTCCGACCCCCAGGAACAGGTTTGCAGATTTGCTGAGCATTTCTGTGAGGTCCTGGGGGAGGGAAAATCCCTCAGCCAGGAAATCATCGTGGCACAAAGTGAGGATGACCCTGCTAAGGCTGCGGTGCCTCAAATATTGGAAGAAGTCACCCCCTGTGAGTGGCTGGCTGAGGTACCATCTGTTGAGGAAGTACTGAACGCGATCCGGAGTCTGAGACCAGGAAAGGCAGTGGGCAGAGATGATCTCCCAAGCGAAATGCTGAGGGAGGGTGGCGTTTATGCACATACTGCCCTATATGACATCATAACAACAGTCTGGACCACTGGACGGGTTCCGCAGGATTGAAAGGATGCCCTGGTGGTCCCCCTCTTTAAGAAGGGGGACCGCACAGACTGTAACAACTACACAGGCATCTCACTCCTGAGTGTGCCGGGAAAGGTCCTGGCAAGGATTATTCAACATCGCCTTGCCAGGCACGCTGAGGAGAGGCTTGCGGAGCCCCAATGCGGTTTCAGGAAGGGCGGTCCTGCACAGATGCCATATTTTCTGTCCGCCTGCTACAGCAGAGGTGT